GTGTGTGTGTGTGTGTGTGTGTGCACAAATTATCCAAGGAATGCTCAGACTGAAGATCCAGCTGATGAAAGCTACCTGGAACTCTGTAAATGGGCCCTTTGTCAGGCTGCAGAAGCAGTGTGTGCCTGTGTGGACCTAAACCTGAAATATTAATTGTAATGTATAATAAATATAATGGAAATAAAATGTTTTCGCTTGGATTTGATCAGGAATGCCACATAATATATTTATATACTATTTGTTTCTAAGCTGTATCCTCAAGCTAGACCCATGCTACTTGTTTTAGTCTTTGCACCCATAGATGGGCTGTCATGTCTTTACTGCAGGCATGGTCTTGTGTTTATACACAAACACTAAGATAGGTGATCACAATTGAACACAGGTGAGGGGAAGACATGTAAACATTTATGACAAATACCATCAGTTAGCCAAAAGATGTGTGGTGAAAGTGAGTTTTAAAAGCTTTCTGACAGAGGTTTCCAACCAACGACGTTGCAGGTAGCACAGTTAAGTCTTACAGAGTAGAGCTGCTGAAATTTACTGTTTAATGTTGAGGTCATCAGAGACATGTTGTATGTGCCGCTTGCTTTCATCACATCACAGAGGGTCTAATTATAATAATATTACACTAATGTAACTTAACAGTAATTATATAATGTAATGTAACATAATGTTACAATCAACATTTCATATATTAAATTTCAAAAACCCAAATAGTCGAGATTAAGAAGCCCGTTGAATCAATTTAATAAAACAACATAGTTACATACAGATTGCAGTTAGAGTTCTGTTAGCTGTGTGTTGCATTGCTGATCAAGCTTCATAAGCTTTATGTGAAGTCCACTCAGACGAGTGTAGTCTCTTTAATCCAGCTGATCTTGTTTTTTGTAGGATTGATGTTACAGTAACATCACAATATTACTAAACATGTAGATGAAGAACTTTTCAAACCTGCGTTTTTTTTTTTTTTTTGGTCAGTTACTCCTCTCTCGAAGCTTCGTATTGGTGGCACTAATGTAGTAAATGAAGATACTTCATCACTTTTGTAGACTGTGGTTAGATGTATAATATATAACAGCTATATTATTAATTTTCTAACTCAACTATCTGGATTTATTAACTTGAGCTAACATCAGGTATATCTTAAAAAAGATCCATGTTTAGAGAGACTTAGAGCTTTTTAATGTCATTGTGCAGTTTCTTGCACAGCAAAATTGGGTAGCTGGACCACAAAGGTGCAAAAGTAAGAAGAGAAAACAATATACAACAAGGGAAAATAAAATAAAATAAAAAGCAATATATGTATACATATATGTGAGTGAAACTATATACATGGTGTATGCGTAATAATGTCGTCTGCCTCATGGAAATAGAAATGAAATATCAGAAAAGTAGGCCAGAAAAGTTGCGTCAGGACAAGCAGGGCGAGCAGTGCTTGCCTCGTCAGATCTGAAAATATACACGTCCCAAAGTAAAGCAATCTATCCTTTGATCTCAGACATCGCTGTCATATGTGGATCCAGGCCTTACATTACTGCCATCTTGTGACCGCAGTTGGGTAATGTCGCTGTGATAATTTCATGGCATAGTGTACTCCTCTCTGTCTGTGAGGGTGTGTCCGTCTTCTGTTAACAGCGATGGAGCTGGGCGAGCTTTTTCCTGGTGGTTTGTGCAGACATGACTGTAAACTGATGAGAGACCAGCGAGCCACACAAGAAGCCGCTGGCTGAGCTTTCACTGCTCTGAGGTCAGTTACTGGCCGCACTTCACAGGACAGGCAACTAGCATTAGCAAGTAAATGAGCTTCAGCGATTTAGCGCCACAACAGAAAGTTTCTTGCTAATTGGTCAACATGTGTGATGTAACGAGACGGTGGTGTTTGAAAAGCTGTTAATGACTGTTTTAGCAGATTAGCAAGAAAATCTGTGATGATGATGGAGAGAGGACGGCAACTCTGACCATCTCCATAAACCGGCTCCGCAGCACTTTCAGATTAGCATTTATGAA